AGGCAGGCTGAGGCTGAGGCAGGCTGAGGCTGAGGCCGAGGCTGAAGGGACTGAGGCTGAGGCTGAAGCAGCTGAGGCTGAGGCTGAGGCTGAGGCTGAGGCTGGCAGGCGATGCTGAGGCAGGCTGAGGCTGAGGCTGAGGCTGATGCAGGCTGAGGCTGAGGCAGGCTGAGGCTGAGGCCGAGGCTGAAGGCTGAGGCTGAGGCTGAGGCTGAAGCAGGCTGAGGCTGAGGCTGAGGCAGGCTGAGGCTGAGGCTGAGGCAGGCTGAGGCTGAGGCTGTGACTGCGACTGCCGTTGCCGCTGCGACTGTCATCGCGAATGCGACTACGACTGCGAGAACAGCAGAATTCTACAACTGGATTTTCATTTGAATCTTAAGGGGAATGCTTTCATATATGCTTCTACACATCGCTGTTAGGTTGCTTAGCCGGGATAATTTGAACGTCTATCTTGGGGCCACTCTCCGCTTTCTTCCATCTCCCACCCTTCTTCTTCTCCCTTCCTTTTAGTGCTCCCGCTACTGCTGCTGCTGCTGCTGTAGTCAACCGCTTTCTGCGGATGAACAGCCTCCCCGAGGTTAGCCGCCGTCGCACCCTTGCCCCTTCGGCCCATCTGGCAACTTTCGCTGGCCAGTCCCGCTGAAAAAAGTGCGGGCGTGGGCCTTCCGAGGTCCTTGCGTCCGTGCCGCGCATCCTCATTATACGGGTCGATTGTGCTACTACGAGCACCCCACTCTTCCCCCCTCCTTTCTCAGGAGCGAGTCGCGGCCGCGGCCGCGCGCCGAGGACGCGCGGGCGTCGGGGGCCGGGCCCTCGCCCCGGACGATCTCGGCGGAGGCGTGAAGCGAGGCCCCGGCCTTGACGGCAGACCTCAGGGCAATCTGGCGGAGTGCGCGGGGGCGCGCATGCTCCGAGCTGCGCCCGCGCTGCGACGAGACCCAACAGCGCGGTCCCAGCGCCAGATGATCCTCGACTGGAGCAAGCACGTGGACGAGCGCGGCGTCGACGAGTTCACCTTCCTGCCAAGCGCCGCGAAGGCCGAGCTGCATTGCGAGTGGTGCTGGGGCGCGGGGGCGGTCGCGAGATGGCGCGGCCTTCGAGCGGCTCTCGAGAAGAAGGTTGCCGCGGGGAGGCTCGGCAAGAGCGGCCCCCGAGTCTGCGGGTGCGCGCGCCCGAACCGCAGCAGGCGCAGGAGCGAGGGCGCCAGGTTGCCCCGCAACGTCGCCGGTATGGCCACCGCCAAGCGCCCGCTCGAGGGCGTCGTGCACCGCCAGGAGTGCCGGTTCAAACCGCGGCCACGAGGTCAGGGAGAAGACCATCCTGACGCGGCTGCGCTACGAGCTGGCCCTCGCGCGGGACGAGCAGCTCCACCTGCAGGAGGTCGGCGACAAGAGCTACAACGCTGAGGTCCACGAGGGTGACCAAGCGCCTGATGACTTCCAGATCGCCCAGACGTGCAAGAAGGACGAGAAGTGGGTGGAGGATTTTGCCACCCCGAGGCTGCGCGCGAGCGGGCGCAAGGGCCGGCGCATCTCCGAACGCGAGCGCCCGACGCTCAGCAAGGACAAGGCCGCGCTGACCTGGGCCACGGCCGACATGTTGTGCTAGTAGTATAGTGGCAGGTCGTAGTAGGTAGGTAGGCAGGTAGGCAGGTAGGCAGGTAGGTAGGTAGGTAGGTAGGTAGTTAGGCAGGTAGGTAGGTAGGTAGTAGAAGTAATAGTAGTAGCCGTAGTAGTAGTTATTCGTTGTAGTTTTGTAGTTCTAGTACTACTACCAACAACTACAACGACTACTACCGCTACCACCACTATTTCCACTAGTACGACTAGTACTACCAGTATCTACGAGTAGCTATTACCGCTCGTAGAAACTGCGACTGCTAGTAACAACAACAACAACAACAACAACTACTACTACTACTACTACTACTACAACAACTACTACTACTACTACTCCTACTACTACCACTACGCACACTACCAGCTACTACTAGTAGTAGCTCCTACATCAACAATAACTACTATTACTACTACTGGTAACAGTTACTACGAGCCAATCTAAGATAGCTACTACTACTACTACTACTACTACTACTCCTACTACTACTACTACTACTACTTCTACTTCTACTACTACGACGACCACTAGAACCATTACTACCACTACCACTACTACGGCTGCTACTACCACTACTACTACTACTACTACTTCTACTACTACTACTACTACTACTACTACTATTATTACTGCTACTACTAGTAGAAGTAGTAATAGTAGTACTACTACTACTACAACTACTACTACTACTATTACTACTACTACTACTACTACTACTACTACTACTACTACTACTACTACTACTCATACTACTATGACTGCGACTACTACTACTACTACTACTACTACTACTACTACTACTACTACTACTACGTCTATTATTATTACTGCCACTAGGGCCCCGAGGCCATCGCCCGGCGGAGGGCCAGCGCGAGCGCGGTCGTCGTCGACGCCGCCGCGCTCTGGCTCGAGCTCCGGGGCGAGGGGCAAGCGCGCGTCCGCAAGAGCGAGATCTACGCTGCAGTTGCCGAGAGACAGCGCCAGAACATCCGCCGCAAGTCCCGCGAGGCGCAGGCCGAGGAAGACAAGGCAGTCTTCGAGGCCGAGAACGCCAATCGCTCGGCAGATCACCCCGACATGAAAATGCAAGTGGACCACGCCTGCTCGATCGCAGGGGGCATGCGCAGGATCTCCCTCGTCGACATCTCCGCAGTCCTCGACCCGAGCAGGGGGCGCAAGTCCGCCAAGAAGCGCAGCGTGCTCCTCGTCTCCCGCGCAAGGCACTGCCGAGTGAGCGACATGAACCTCGAGGAGGGCACCTGGCGGCGCGACGCCACCCGCGAGCGCGGCGACGGCGAGGCGGAGCGCTTCGAGCAGGCGAGCCCGTGGGGGCATTGCTCAAGGGCTGGCGCAACTCTCCTTTCGAGTTCAACGAGGGGGGGCGCGCGGGGGTTTTCGAGGTCATCGACGTGTGGGGCCAGCCCAGGGCCTGGACGGACGAGCTCGTCGCTTCCTGTGCCATCGTCTTCGTCAAGCAGCAGCGCGGCTGGGGCCTCCTGTTCGCGGACTGCCTCTCGAGCCAGTGGGCCGAGGCAGTGGCGCTCCGAGCGTGGCTCCAGAATGTGGCCTGCGCGCCCGTGGCCCCCTGCGTCGCGGGCTTCCTGCAGGGGCCGGGCGCCCGCGAGCACGGCCAGCTCAGGGCCATGATCCGAGAGGTCAAGGCCGAGATGCATTGGGCCATGGGGCAGGACTGGATCCAGAAGGCCGAGGCTGAGCCCCGGAAGCAGTGCAAGTCCCCGACCCAAGTCTCCGAGGCCTGCGCCCGCCTCCGCGAGAAGAACATGGGCGCGGTGCCGCTCCAAGGGCTGCGAGCGAACCAAATGCTGGCTGTCTGGCCGACAGAGCAGGGCGAGCTCAAGGTCGCCACGGGCATGGGGCCGACAAGCTCAAGGAGGCCAGCGACAACGACTTGGCCGAGGCCAAGGCCGAGGCCAAGAGCAAGGCCAAGTCCAAGCCCTTCAAGGACCCCCACGGCGGTCGAGCCGAAGCATGCCGCCCTCGAGGGGGCAAGCGCTGCGACCCAAGCCTGCGCCGAGTACCTCCCGTGCAGCGAAGGCTCCAGAGGGTGCCGAGCCTGCGTGGGCGAGTGATCTGAAGTCGTGCGCGAGAGAGGTTTCTTGGCCAGGGCGCTAAGGACCTCTCTTGCGCAGGCAAGTTGTAGCCGCGAGCTTCGACATCTCTCGCGTCAGTCTCGTGCCAAGATCCACTAGGCCAGGTTGCGCGAGCGCCCGGGATCATCAGCGTCATCATCGTCATGTTTGTCATCGGACTCATCGTCAGCGCGACACCGCCTTCGCCGGGAAAATCTTTGATTATCCCCGCCAGACCCCGAACTTAATTTCTCCTCTTGGGATTATTATCGGGAGCAGTTGGTTACCGTCGCCGTCGCGGTCGTCGCCGTCCGCCCGCCCGACCCGATCTGCCTGTTAGGGGGCCGTTCGAGTCGGACGGTCCGCCCGCCCGACCCTTTTCCTACCCTCCCGTCAGGGAGGGTTCACGCGCAGTCGCTCGCATGTGCACCGCGCTTGAATTTCTCCGCCCGCCCGACCCGAGCCTCCAGCCCGACCCGACTCGCTTTTTAGGGTTCGCGCGTGATTATTCGAATGCGCGCCACCCTTTAGATGTCCCGCCCGCCTGGCCCGACCCGCACGTTAGCAGGGTTCATCGGGTCAAATCGTGCGCTGCACTGTCTGGTCAGTCACTCTGGCGCCGCCGCGGCGGGGTGCTCTCGATGCGGGGCTCCTTACGGGGGGGTCCTGATATGGGGGGTCTTGAAGGGGGGTCCTGATGGGTGGGGGTATTGATGGGTGGTTCCTATGAAAGGGGTCTTGGGGGGGGGTCCTGGTGGGGGGGGGGTCTTGAAGGAGGGTTCAGAGGGGGTCCCTTGAGGCGGGCTCCTGAGGGGTGACAGTGGAGGAGCGTGAGGAGGGAGGACCTCTGGGCTTCCCTCCTAGGCTTATTGCAGGGCCTGCCTTAGCCGTGCACCAGGCCTCGTGTGGGGCCTACCCAACGCTAGCCTAGGCTCCCCCAGGGCATAAGGGGGCCCTAGGGTAGCCGGCCCTCCTGGGGTCGGTGCTGTTTTTTGTCGGGCCCGGGGCCCGGCGAGGTCCCGCACAGGCCAAACACGGCGAAAAAACACCGTATGCGTTTTTGTTCCATCCTTTGATGGTCTGGGCACGTTCGGAGGGGTAGCATCGGTCCTGTGTCGCTCGCCTGGGCCCTCCCCAGGAACATGGCCCTTCGCTGTCGGCGCTCCGCCGATGTCCCCCCTCCCCCCCGCCTTCGAGCCAACCGCCCGTGTAGCCGCTCCCTCCCTCCCTCCCTCCCTCCCTCCCCCCTCCCTCCCTCCTCCCCTTTCTCCCTCCTCCTTCTGCCCCTCCCAGGAGAAAATGGGGCAGGAGGCCAAGGCAGAGAAAATGTCCGTGCTGGCGGACCTGAAGAGCAGCGGCCCCCTGACTCAGGCGTGCAGGCTAGGCGGCAAGCAGGGTCCCTGGCAGTTCGACGTCCCGGACGGGGATCAGTCGCTGCGTCACGGGACGTTTGACGATCTTAACATGCTCGCAGATAATTTGCCCAAGTACGACTCACAGGTGGACAGCATCCTTCACCGCCTGGAGCGCCAGATCATTGAGCTCAACAACGCGCACCCAGAAGGAAAAGCGCCCTCCCATGTCCAGTTCAAGGTCAAGAGCCAGCGCCAGGAGAAGGGCCTGCTCGACTACCTGAGCGATTGGAAATGGGACGAGGCCAAGTATCCGAAGACGCGCCTGATGGCCGAAACCTGTCAATCGCTTATGCACGCTGTCAACCGGCTAGACGATGAGGCCCGAAGCAAAACAAACCAGTACAACGAGTATAAGACGCAAAAGGCCAACATTGACAGGAAAGACGGCGCGCTGCTCACTGGCGCGGACCTCATCGATGTGTTGACGCCGAGTGTGGTGAAGATGGGACCAGGCAAGAGTGCGAACGACGACTTCATCTACACAGAGCACCTCACCACGGTCACCGTCATCCTTACGAAGGGGGCCGAAGTGGAGTTCCTCAAGACGTACGAGAAAATGACGGATTCTGTGGTCCCGAAGTCGGCCAAGCGATTCGATCACGAGAGCGTGAAAGACAAGGACGGCAACACCGTCTGGCGGGTCGTCATGTTCAAGGATTGTGCGGAGCCGTTCAAGAAGGCCTGTCGCGAGCGGCGCTATATCACTCGAGACTTTGAGTACAGCGAGGACGCGTACAACAAGCGCGAGGCCGCGCGCAAGGACCTCGAGGATAAGGTCAAGAGGGAATACACCCTCGTCATGAGCCTCTACCAGGCTGCGTGGTCGGACGTGATGGTCGCGTGGATCCACATCAAGGCCATGCGCGTGTTTGCGGAGAGCGCCTTGTGGTCGGGCTTGCCGCCCAAGTTTGCGGCCTTTGTCGTCAGCCCCGTGCCAGGCAAGGGCGACGCGGTGCGGAAGGTGCTCGCCGACAAGCTAGGGAAGCTGGGTGGCGGAACCGGCCCTGGCAGCAAAGGCGACGCAGACGATGGGGAGGAGGACTACCCGTACGTCTCGCTCTCGTTCGTCCCCTTCACCGTTCCGAGGTAGAGGGAACCCCGCAGCAGCAGCTGCAGTGACCCTGGAGGGGGAGGGGGAGGGGAGAGCAGAGATTTTGGGGACGTCCACTGACCACCTCACCGATCCTGGCCAGATGGGCCCAGGATGAGTGCATGCGCCTCCAGGATGACATATACACCGACACTGGGCGCAGGATCGGCCCTGCCACGATCGGTGAGGTGGCCAGCAGACGTCCCCCGAAAACAGGACTTAGAGGCAGCGGCAGCGCATATGGCAGTGTACGTAGGTCTGGAGCCAGCCAGCCTGAGTGAGCCGTCCCTCTTTTTTGGCCATGCGTGAAGAGTGACACTCCGCCAGGGGCGCACCTTTTTTTGGGGGGTGGTGATGCGGGGGGGGTGCGGACCCCAAGCGTCCAGGCTGCACTGATCGCACCACATTCAACGATAGGCAAGCCGCGAGCCCAACGGCCACTCTCGCCCAGGGTCGCTCTTGCGTGTTGCCGACTCTTGCCCTAGGCCTGCTTCCTCCTCCCCCGCTTCTTCTCGGCTCCCCGCCTCTGCTCGGCGCCGTGCTTGTATCGATTCCCGTGAAGGCGCGCCAGTTTTTGGCGGCGCGCAGAAGGGGGAACGGGTGAAGGTGGCGGCCTTCTATAAGAATGCAGGCCGCCAAGATGGGGCCCTACAACGGCATGTTCGCCGCGTTGATGCGGCGGCGGTCCCAGCGCGACTGCTCAAGGTTGAATGCCGCCAGCGACCCCTGCGAATGATCTGCGCTATCGGAAAGCCGCGCTCGTTCAAAGTTGGACGATCCACGCAGTGCCTGAAACCAACGCCGACGTCATCTTGACGTAATCCCGCTGTCGGGGGTTCCCGAGGACCATCGCCGCTGCCTCGGCGATGCGGCTCGACTTGGAGCCCATTTTCTCTATCCCGATGCCGCCGATGCATCGGCGATGCGGCGCCATCCCTCGGCCCCACCAGCTTTCGGCCCATGTGTTGCATTTTCTCCAAATCGGCTTCCCCTACAGGAGTTCTAACTTAAACCCTACTCAATGGTCCGTTGCCCCCCCCTTATTCCTATGCCCCCCCAATCCTTATGGCTATGGCTATGCCTATGCCTATGCCTCCCCCTAACTCTTATGCCTACGCCTATGCTTATGCCTATGCCTATGCCTATGCCTATGCCTATGCCCATGCCCATGCCTATGCCTATGCCTATGCCTATGCCTATGCCTATGCCTATGCCTATGCCTATGCCTATGCCTATGCCTATGCCTATGCCTATGCCTATGCCTATGCCCATGCCCATGCCCATGCCCATGCCCATGCCCATGCCCATGCCCATGCCCATGCCCATGCCTATGCCTATGCCTATGCCTATGCCTATGCCTATGCCTATGCCTATGCCTATGCCTATGCCTATGCCTATACCTATGCCTATGCCTATGCTCGCTTGCGCTTGCTTGCTTCCGCTTGCTTGCTTGCGCTTGCTTGATTTTGCTCCTCCCGTCCTCTTCCCGTCCTGCTCCCGTCCTCCTTTCGTCCTCCTCCCATCCTCCGTCTTCCTCCTGTCATTCTATCTATTTGGAGTCAACGCTGACTGATATATCGATTCTGGTCTGCCCGATCCGATTCGACTCTGATCTTCCGACGATTTGATGCGGCCCGATGCCTGCATGGCGCAGTTGTGCAGTTTCGCGCGGTCGATCCGATTCGATCTCAGTTGTTAAACTTTCTCCTCTGCCGTCTCTGTGCCGCCGCCGCCTTTCTGTCGACACGCCGTATTGCATTGCATGTCCGCAGCTGTTACAGTAAGGGTCAACCTAGCACGTCGGGCCCGTTCCGCTCGTGGAAGCAAGAGCGCCGGCCGGGTCGTCGCCGTGTCGTCGACTACCCATCCGTGCACGTATCCTTCCCATACTATCTTAAGGGACATTACCACCATGTCGATGCGAGGAATCCAGAGCACTGATGCAGACGACATTACCTCATCTTCACACCCAACATTTGCAGGGGCTCCCGTTCTTTGGGTAAAGAGCTGGTGATTCGCCGAAGTGGCAATGATTGCATCCGATGCACATTTGAACATACATGAAGCTTCTGGCGTGATTGTACAGACTGAAATGGCCGAAGGTTTTGGAAACAAGGTCGTATCATACTTGGTGGGCCAACCACCCCCAAACATCATTCGAAAATCACTCATTAATGAGCCGTGCGTGCAAGCTACTGGAGATGTTTCGGCGTTGGTTCAACCGACGGCTCAAGGCGATAACATCGAACGTGATCTGTCCACCATCATGGATTCCGTCGATGTAAGCTCAGAATTTCTCGTCGACCAAAGGAGGGGAACACGCGCCAGTGACTTCGTTGGAGCACGTGAGAGACGTTACGTTGGAATCCCCAGTATCGAAGCGACCAAAGGTACCAGACGACAGCAGCATGGAACGCAATTTTCCTATCCAGGTTTTTAGATTAACTGGGGGCGTAGCAGAAGGTCAAACTTGTCCCGTGATGCGAGAAGTCGAGGGGGCGCCAGACGAACCCATGTCGCCACCTTCGAATGCTAGGCGTCAGGCTCTGAACTCCCCGTTGGTGTCGACAGTTCGTGGGAGGTAGCGGGGCAGCCGGGTTTCCGTGACTTGTCGCCAGGACGTGTCTCGATCAGGGTAGGGTTGTTGGGCGCAAGGACCGCGATGCCAGGCCGCGGTCAAAAGCCGATGCCCGGGAAAAGGTGGGAAAGGCTGATGGCCCGTGCCTTCGCCCTGCGTGCGGGTTCTGTTCGCGCGTCTGTACGCATTGCCGCGTCAATTTGCATTGCGAAGACTGCGCTGAACTGGCGGAAAACAACTGCCCGCGTGTTGCCGTTGTTGGTTGGCGACAGAAAAAGGCAGAGACACGCGCCGCTGAGGAAAAGGAGCTTCGCGCTCAAATTGTTGCTCGCGCGCGAGAGTTCAAGCGGCACCACGGTGAACAACTTTGGCATATTCGTAATTCATAAGAGAAGCTGTTACAGTTTGCACGGCGGGCGCAGCTCAGCCATCGGGCGACCTCGGAGGCGGCTCAGCTGTCTCTGATGGAAGCTGAAAGTAGCAATAACGATATGCTATTCTGCCACATTAGTGTGACATTGGATAATGCAAATAAAATTGCAGGGAAATGGCAGAGCGGCGGGGGGGTGTCCGCAACGGACCTGCGCGTGCGTTCTTAGCTGCAGGCTGCCGAAGAAGCGACGACGAACTATGGAATTAGTCGTCCGAGAAAGGACGGCTCAGGCTGCTGCAGCGGTGCGGCAATTTCTGGAAATTGCGTCTGCCGTGGTGCAGCGGGCATCTCTTCGGGGGCAAGCTGCCATTGCGCGCGCGCGGGGGACGAAGGGAGACATGGGCAAGCTTAACGAGGGCAACAGGCGCGCGTCGAACTGCAGGCCCTGCGAGAGATTCGATCTCAGAATGAGTGGGCTACGCGAGAGGGCCTGTCGGAATTGCAGACTCAGTTTGTGGTGCCCAATTGTGTTGTCTTAAGCCCATCGGCGAGCTCCGGAGTCAACCAGTGGCGCCGGGGAAACGTGCGCCGACGTTGCAGGTGCAGCCCGCGACGATGGGGCAGCTGACGAGCCAAACTCTGGGATTGAGCTTCCAAAGGAAACCTAGGAGCTTGCGTCCGCCGTCGCCGAGTGACGCTGTCGCTGCTCCAGCCGTGGCGGATGGTCACGTAGATGGAACAACCTCCCCATCGGGTAGGGCGAACCCAAGCCCTGTTGTTGCCGGGGTCGCGTTGACGTGGCGCCCGGGCGGCGCGAGCAATGCGTTCGAGAGAAGTCGGCCGCGGAAGTAGAATTCGCCAGGAGAAGATTGAAGGAAGGGCGCAGGCGATCCCGGTGCACGGCTGTCCTCGTAAAACAATTCCCTACCTAGGCTCTGCCTAGAAGGGTTCTTACCCTCTCGGCTGAAAGGGCCGGGCAGTGGGGGCCGGCCCAGGCGGTTCCCCCAGTATCCGCCCCGCGGTTCCCCCAGCTGCGCCCTGCTGGTTCACCCAGCTAAGCTAAGCTAAGCTAAGCTTAGATGTAGGTGTAGATGTAGATGAAGATCTGAGTGTAGTTGTAGATGTAGATGTAACTGTAGATGAAGATGTAGATGCATGTGTACATGTAGATGTAGCTGTAGGTGTAGATGTGGATGTAGGTCTAGATGTAATTGTCGGTATTAAGCTGTAGTAGTACTACTACTACTACTACTACTACTACTACTACTACTACTACCACTACCACTACCACTACCACTACCACTACTACTACTACTACTACTACTACTACTACTACTACTACTACTACTACTACTACTACTACTACTACTACTACTACTACTACTACTACTACTACTACTACTACTACTACTACTACTACTACTACTACTACTACTACTACTACTACTACTACTACTACTACTACTACTACTACTACCTACTACCTACTACCTACTACCTACTACCTACTACCTACTACCTACTACCTACTACCTACTACCTACTACCTACCTACTACTACTACCTACTACCTACTACCTACTACCTACTACCTACCTACTACCTACTACTACTACTACTACTACTACTTACTACTACTACTACTACTACTAATTGTCGGTAATTGTCGGTATTAAGCTGTAGTACTACTACTACTACTACTACTACTACTACTACTACTACTACTACTACTACTACTACTACTACTACTACTACTACTACTACTACTACTACTACTACTACTACTACTACTACGACTACTACTACTACTACTACTACTACTACTACTACTACTACTACTACTACTACTACTACTACTACTACTACTACTACTATTACTATTACTACTACTACCGCTACTGCTACAACTGCGACGATGAGGAGAAGGAGGGGGGCGGCGTTTACCGTTGCTACTAATCTTGCTCTCCTCGGGGCTCCAACTCCTAGGTGGGGTCGCTCTGGGATAACTTGTTACGGGCAATTCGGAAGGGGAGGGGGGGGGCTTGAAAGGGCCGGGCAGTCCGGGGAGAAGGGGGCGCCCGCAGGTCATTCGCCCATGTCAGAGAAAATCGATTGGACATCGCCTGAAGCTTTCGAGCATTCCCTCGAAGGAGTGCCGCGTTGGCCAGAATTGGTGGCCCCGCCGCAGGATTCTCCTGAGACGTCGTCCGATGCGCCCGATGAGATGCCTAACTTTCCCCCGAACGTCGCCGGTTCAACCGGGGGTGGGAACGGAGGAGTTCGGGGCCCGCCCAGGGGTGGGGGCGGGGGGGGGGGCGGAGGCGGCAATGGCCGCCGGCTTCGGTCCATAACCTCCTCGACTAGTGGAGACAGGCGGGAAGAGCAACGGAGATTCAGATGTTGCCCGTGCATCGGCCAACGGGACTTCGCGATTGGAAACTACACGCAGTGTCTCTGCAGATGCGAAGGGCGCTCGGCCGTGGGTGACGCATTGAACCCAGAAGTGGGCGCTCGGCCGCGTTGTCCTGGGCTCCAGGCGGCCCGTGCGCCCCGATGCGATGTTCGCTTCGGATTCGACCGAAAAGTCTTCCGACGTGCGACCAGAGAAGGACTTGCCAGCGCAGCAGACGCATGCCATCGCCCGGGTTGACCGAACGGGGCAGAATGCCCAGAATGGAATGCGATTGCTCACGGGGCGCGAGATGAGACGCCTGATGTGTATTCGGCTGTCTGCGCGCGCGGAACGCGGCGGGGGCTGCGTTCGTCGGGGCCCGGTTCGGGTCGTCGCTAACAAGAGCGGCCCTGGCGAGGATTTGCAATGTTTCCATGGCGAACGGATGTCTTTGCGCCGCGAATTGTTGAACTCTACAGGAAGGCGAGCCATCCCCAGGGATGGCGGCTTCAATTCATGGGCGCCCTACGTGCATGTGAAACTGGCGCCCGAGATGCTGCCCGCAATGGGGTGCTATGAGCCCAGCTGCGCGAGGGTTG